GGGTCTTGCGCTTCCAGGCCCGTGTCACCTCCCGGGACGAGGGTCGGGCCGGCTCCAGACGACGGCCCCTCCGACCACGGCGCCTCTTTTCCTTGGCCTCTTCGCGAGCCACCGCGCGAGGCTTGTGTACCGGGTCGCCGGGTGGAGGGTCCTTGAAACACGGTTCTCACGTATGTGGCCATGTTGTGACCCCAATCACGGAGGGCAGTGGCCAGGACTTGCTGTTTGGTCCTGGGGAGCCCAGATGAGAAGCTGCCGTCTGCTTCCCCTCTTCCGCCCCCCTCCACTCTGCCCTGCCTCCCCTCGCTTGCTGTCCTCCCCCCTCCTCACTTGCTGTCCTTTCCGCCCTGCCCATCTCACTTGCTGTCCTCCCTGCCCTCTCCTCACTTGCTGGCCTCCCCGCCCTGCCTCTGTCCTCACTTGTCCACCGGTTGCACCTCTTTTCTGTGCGTGACCCAGACCGCCTTACCTCCACCCTGTGCATGCTGAACCTGATCCTCCCCAGTTCGCGCCAGAGGCTGGAGGTGCCAGATCAGAGTCCCAGTTTCTCCTGTCACCAATGGCTTGGATTCTAGACACTCCACTACAGGTTGTTTGGTAACTTTGTTCCACATTCAAGCTTATGCAGTTCAGCCTTAGTTTTTAAAACAGTGGTTCTTTATTAGGGAAGTAGATTTAGACATGCTTTTCCTGCTTGTTTATATGTTTTGGTCTTTGGGACGGTGGTCTCTCAAACCTCAATCATGACGTTTTATATTTTACCTTTACAAAGACTGGGGTCTCGCTGTGTTGCTCAGTCTGGTCTTGAACTCCTGACCTCAAATGATCGTCCCACCTTGGCCTCCTAAACTGCTGGAATTATAGGTGTGAGCTACTGCACCCGGTCCAATTATGGCGTTTTAAAACCATTTCTTATTGCTTAAAGGAACTTTTATCTTTTTTACGTATTTGCCTTCGGAGTTTTGTTTGGATGGTGGTTTTGGAAGTAGGTGTCACTGTTGCTTCCACAGATGTAGCAGATAAGCCAGAGGATTGTTTTTCTGCCTCTGAATTCATTGGCATAGGCACAACATGAAAATATGTTTTAAAAAGCTGTTTGCAAAATGCAAACTGCATGGACAGAAATTGGTCTGGGTGTGCACTGCATTGTTAGAGTTTTAAGCTCTAATAATGGTCTTGAAATACTATAGGCACAGCAAAGGCAAGGGAAACAGTGCTAGTTTAATATGTATTTAATTAGGTGTTGCATAAATTGTATTAGACCTTGTCCTTCAAAAGGGAAATTTGAAAGTTGTTCCTGCTACTCTCATCTCTTGCCTCTGAAGCGGCCCCTGAAGTGTGGTGGTTTGACAAGGAAGAGTAGAAAAATAGGAAGTTTTGGAAAGCAGTTAGCTAGAAATCTTAGCAACTCCATCTCATTCTTGTCATCTCAGCTGCTGATGTATCCTATTTTTCTGTGACTGTGTGGCACTGAAGCACATAATTAGGATGATCACTTAATTTATTTTCTACAGGGTGGGAGAGGAATTTAAAGGCTTCTGATTATTAAAAACATGACATATCTATAAGATTCTATATCTGGTAATTTCCGAGTGGTAGTTGGTACCAGAATGGGTGCAAACTAAGTCTCTTTTTTCCGTTCTAAGTACAAATCTGGGCCACTACACATTCTTGGGTCAGTAAAACTGCAAGTTATCTTCCTTAAACTGTGTCACTAAGTTGTCATTCTGTTCTCTTCCATGATTATTGTCAGCAGTGACCCCGACCACAGAACAGTTTTTCATCCATTCTCAATACAGCGGTGAGACTAAGCCCTACCACCTTACTGTGATTTTGAAGTTGTGTGTTTTTCTGCTCCTGTCTGATGAGACATTCTCTAATCTTTTTGGATCTCATGACTGGATACTTCTGTGACAAGTTTAATTGGGAAAAAAAGAAGGATCTATCTAGTCCCCTGAGTTGTTTGCTTGTTTTTGCTAATATTCCATTTTTTATTGGTTGAATGTTTAAGTTTTTGTGCTTAAGGGCATACTGACTTTGGCATTTAGCAGGTGCCAAGCACCTATCTTTAGTGGCTTAGGGGAGTGTAGATGGTAGGAACAGAGTCTAAGTGTAGTCAGATGAAAAATGACTTGGTTTTCTATAGGTGGGCAGGACTCTGGAGTGCTGTGATCTATTTTATAAGACTAGACAACAGATCCTATTCAGGCTTCCTTTTTCTTTCTTCCCCCCCCCCAACCTCTTTTGACAGATGCGGCCTCATGGATGAGCTGGTACATGACCTAGCCTCAGCCTTGGAGCAGACATCTGAGCAGAGCAAGCTCGGTGAGCTGTGGGGGGAAATGGCCCTGAGCCCTCGGCAGCAGAGGAGGCAGCTTCGGAAGCGCCGGGGCCGGAAGCGTCGTTCTGACTTCACTCACCTGGCAGAGCATACCTGCTGCTACAGTGAGGCCTCTGAGTCAAGTCTGGATGAGGCCACTAAGGACTGTCGAGAAGTGGCCCCAGTCACCAATTTTAGTGACTCTGATGACACAATGGTAGCCAAACGGCACCCAGCTCTCAATGCCATTGTTAAGAGTAAGCAACATTCTTGGCATGAATCTGACTCCTTTACAGAAAATGCACCTTGTCGACCACTCAGGCGCCGGCGGAAGGTGAAGCGAGTGACATCAGAGGTGGCTGCCAGCCTTCAGCAGAAGCTGAAGGTGTCCGATTGGAGCTATGAGAGAGGCTGCAGGTTCAAGTCTGCTAAGAAGCAGCGTCTGTCCCGCTGGAAGGAGAATACTCCCTGGACCTCCTCAGGCCCTGGGTTGTGTGAATCAGCAGAAAATAGAACTTTCTTAAGCAAAACAGCAAGGAAAGAAAGGATGGAGTGTGAGGCAGATGAACAGAAACAGGGCTCTGATGAAAACATGTCCGAATGGTGAGATCTCCCTTACTAAGTCAAAGACTTTTCTGGTTCATTTTACCAAAAGTGCAAATCCACAGTCCTGATGCGTTCTACTGTCTTTCAAACCAGTCACTCTGGTATTGGCTTTGTAACCTTCCTTTCATCAATCGGTAGTTTATCTCTAGTTTTTTAAAGTACTGTTCATGAATCCACTTCCCTCTGTTGTGAAGGCTGTATGTAATAGAAACATGTTTCCCAAAATTGCTTAAAACGAGTACTTCAAATCCACAACCAGGAATTTTATTTTAGAAAGCAATTTGCTGCTTGTTATGCCATATAGTTCATACATAGATATTGTTCTTTAGAATTAGTCTCAACAAAAGCTGGTGTGTGTGTGTGTGTGTGTGTGTGTGTGTGTGTGTGTGTATGTATATGAGGGAGAGAGGGGAGGAGAAGAGAGAGGGAGAGGGCAGATGCTGCAGGCACGTGAAGTTTTTAAATGTTCCTGGTAAACTCCTGTCCTCATTAAGAGTTGTGGTTGAGCCGGGCTCGGTGGCTCAGCCTGTAATCCCGCGCCTTTGGGAGGCTGAGATGAGTG